TGCTGGTTCTTTGATGTAATTCGTCTATTTGAAATAGTAGCGCCAACATTTAGTCAACTGTTAACAAGTACTTGGGAATTGTCAGTTTTATTTGTAAATTTCGTGTAATTATATTACGAGCAGAACTGAATTCGTTTCAAGACTTTCTACATTATTTTAAGTATAGCAAGTTTTTCGTTAAATGCGTCTTTGCAAATCTTAGTTGTTTATGTAGGTCTATCACACCCTGTATTACTTATAAAAATTATCGTGTATGAAATGAAACAAAAAAATGGTCACAAGTCTTATTCTAACTATGATAATACATGAAAAAATCACCTTATTTCAGTAACTGATATTCCTAATTTTTTGAACACGCTATACCAGCCATATTCAACCTTTTTTTTTTCTTCGGGCCACATTCGTATGTTTCTATGTTATACGGGTCGCAATATTTTTGGAAGATGACTTGTTTTTATTCCATCTATTTAAAATTAGTTAGCGGGGACCTCTGATAAATAAAACACAAAACAAATATATCAGTCGTCGGGTTAACAAAAAAGAAAAACGTCACTTAGCTTATTTTAGCTGCCTACATACAGATCATAATATTTAATCTATATGTCACTATCATCAATGGAAGATTCAGTTACCGTATCTTTAACATTATTGGATATTGGTAGATTGTAATAATAATGGTGAAATTCATCAGGTGTAGTGCATGATTTGCAAAGTTTTAGTAAATTTTTCTTCTTGCACTTTTTTGTTCTAATTATTTTTAGAGCATTTTTTCGCCCTTTTAGGCATCCCTCTGTACCTCCCTCTGTATCGCTGATAGAAAGGGTGACGTAATCACTTTGTCGATTTCGGAACAATTGAGAAAGTCCAGAGACGGTTCTAGGCAAACAAAATAAATGAATTCGGCAAAATGTTGAAGTATTTCAACCAATACACTCAACAAAAAAAAAATGTTCTGGTCTTTATCTTGTTTTGGCACAAACACTATTAGGAATCGGACTAAATACATTTAGTAAAAAATAGTTGTATGTTTCATTTGGTTTCGGTAGGCACACTATTGTTTGTGTATATTATGAATGTATTAATATGGAGTAAGTTTTTATTGGCCACCTTTTTATCATGAATAAAGACTTCGTTCACACTTGTCTTGTTTATGCCATATATTATTTAAACTATTTTAGAGACCAAAGTGTACATATTTAGAAAATGCCAAAAATGGAGTGATCTTGTTATTGCAGTAACCCCACGCCAAACGTTTATTTAAAAATTAGCGCGATAGCGTAGCGAACGATGAATGTTTTAGCGCATTTAACTCAAGATGTTAAAAACAGAAACATATAGTTTTAAAGATCATCTTTTTAATAATAATGTTTCATGCCGCAAAAAGCTTGGAGGGCCACATGGGGCCCGCGGGCCGCCGTTTGAGTATGGCTGCGCTATACGATATATTTGAAAATATTAATTCTGCATTCCTTAATTAAGAATTCATATAAAAGTTCACCATGTAGAGCTGCAAACTTGAAGTCCATAAGACAATTGCCTTTAAAGATCTGAATAATGATATACCAAAATTTGAACAAATTCTAGCTGATAGTACCCAAAATCAATGTAAAAAGTGCGAGGGTTCTTTGGATTAAAATATATAACAAAAACAAAAAAATTAACAAAAACACTAAAATATATTGGAAACATTTTATAAATTATGATTTTCACCGGGATAGATGAATTTAAAGCTGGAAGAGAGCGAAAGATTTATAATTATAATAATTTGCACATTCTGGATCAGAAAATTCAAGTTTATCCACCGACATTGCTCCAGAAGCTATAGAATAAGTTATTCAATTTATAAAAAACTGGATCGGAAAATCTATAAAAGTGCCTAAATTCAGAGAAAAAAGTTTTACTAAAAATATTAAGTTCCGTTTTTAGAAAATATTTATGGCATATTTCCAAAAATATAATTTTATTTCAATCTTTTTAATTTCCATTCAATTCCAATTTGTGTTTAATATTACATTTAAAGTTATTTAAAACAATAACAATCTTTTCGTCTAGTAATTAAAAACTTTATTTTATGTTGAAAATAAACAATGCACTCAATTCGGTTATGCTGATTCTACAATTTCAAAACAATGGGGGTCAGCTAGCCAAATTGACAAAACAAAAAATAACAACATTTTTGGCACAACCGAGGCTATAAGTTCTTCGGCTGTGACGAAAATCGGCAGTAGGTAATACTCTGCTGTATTACAGTAATAAAAATAAAAATAAAAAATAAAGTCGTGACATTCCAGCTTGCTGTTAAAATATGTGGTAAGGTTATCTTATAAATATAATAAAAAATAAAATAAAATAAAAAATGTATTTCTGAGAAAAGTAACCAGTTGGTTCTTTAAAGTCTTTGTAGTGTATATATTGTATATTTGGGGTGTATTATTATATTGGGGATTTCTGGACAGTTCAGGGGATTTTAGTTTGTATTTATTAAAGATTTGTAGTTTTTTATGCAGTGACTTTTATTCCTTCCCAAGTAGCGTAAAGCCAAGCCAAGCGTAATAAATCATAAGAAAGGTTCCCCAGTGAGTATTTTCGGGTGGCGCAAAGATCTTCCTCAACTGGAAGATCGTTTGGGCGATCCGAAATACGCAGTGGCGTACCCTACGATTAATTGGTTTGCCTAACAAACCACTTAACGTGACAATATATTATTTTAGATATCATTAAAAGATCTAAAATTCCAAAAACTTTAAAAACAAATTAAAAGTTTATTATTAAGCAGGTTAATAAACTGGACCAAAAATCAGATTAATTCAATTAAGTACAAGATGTTTGCAATATAGAATATCTGTCAATATTCGCTTTTGTCACGAAAAATTACATATATATATCTACTATTAAAATAACATTAATTTAATTTGATGACATACATGTTGTCATTTAAATATATTATGTCCATGCTCAGCCTAGTTTTCTATGGGATTTCCATATATTTCTTTGAAAATAGACACTGCACTTACCACTTTTATCATGTTTTTTTAGTTTATAATTGCCACTTTTGATACTTTTATATCATATTTTTTTATTTATTTTATATTGTATTTTTATATTTAATTCTTGTATTGTGTTTTTAAATTACTATTTCCTTAGTTGTATTTTTATACATTTTAGCCATATAAAAAAATTTTATTACAAAAGTTGTACCTAGACAAATTTATGTGATTTAGATGTATAGAGGACATTATTCATACGATCTAGGACTATCGTCAAATTTCTAAAATTATTAATCTTTACTTTTTTAAAAAACGAAGACATGATGCGGATTTGCTATTCTTGAATAAGTTGGTAAATGGTTCAATAAATTTTCCGGAATTGCTTGCTTTATTTTACTTTAATTTTGCATTAAGAACTAGGAATGGACCATTATTATATAAAATAGACATTTAACAAATTATTGTCATGTCGTAAATTGAATAGCCTATCGTGTTCCAATGATATATTTTTCAATTTATTTAGAATATTGAAATGAATATTATACAAAGTTAGAACAGAGGTTTGTTTGTGTACTAGTTTTTAAATTATTTCTCTATGTAAACCTACTGCTGTAATTTAATTATTTTGTAAGAAATTGATTTTCCATTATTACAGTCTTTTATTACTTACCGTATTATAGCATTGTGTAGTATTTTAAAACATTTTTTTATTTATTAAATAATAATTTTATAATATATTGAGTATATCAGCTTAGCAAACAAGCTTGATGATATTAAGATACTGTTTGTACAGATTAATAACTGTTTTTATGCAAATTAGGCAAAAAATTCAATTATGTACAGTCGGCGCAATATAATTCATCTGAAGCGGAGATGCGCTGTAGTCGATTTTCTATTTTCGTCGCCTACTTTAACAGTATAAGATGGGTAAATTTAACCCCATCCCATACAAATTACGAAGCACATGTAACAAAATAATAATAATTATGACTCTACCTATAAACAATATTAACAGTGTAATCATTTGAAGCCTATTTTTTTTAAACATCGTTTATTACTTTTGAATAAAAAATAGCATAATTTATTTTTTGTATAATAAATTTATGTTTGAATTGCATTTTTCTTTAATTTGTCCTTGCAAAATATTTACAAAACAATTCTTTGGATTCTGATAAATAACTTGATATGCTCATCTAGATCACCACTACCAAACGTTCGTATATACGAACTTCAAACAAAGCCTATGTTAAATGCATTTGTTTACCTGAGCTTTTAGGTACAATTTTGTTTGAATTTGCTCAAGTGTCAATGTCCAGAGCTGATGTCATAATTATGTCAAGCCTTTTAGCAGGTATATCACAGTTGGTGGCCTTTGAAGTACATCCTAATCCTTCGAGCCCTGGTGACGGTTAGAGTAGAGACGGAGAAAAAAAAATTACATATAAACAAGACTGACAAGATAAGACAATATAATTTTACATCTTCAATATTATACATTCCTAATTAATAAAATATTTTTGAATTAATCAAGTAAGTTTCAATTCCATCCTACAGAAGCCTCTTAATTATTATTTTTTTGAATCGGTGTGCAAACGTTCGACTGCTTTATGCTTTTTTTAGGAGATTGATGTAACTCTTCTGATCAGACTTTGGGAACAGCTGAGCTATTGTAATACCACTTCTTGGACTTCTCTTTCTGTTATTTACACATTTTATTTCATTTATTATTCCTTATTTAGCTTAATTGCATAGATAATACAATACAAAAATATAAAATATGAATAAAATATGGAAAAAAAATTATCTAAATAAATTGGTTGTAGGAATCGTAGTTATTTTAGGGTAATTACTTAAAAAACAAGAAAATCGACTTCCATATAAAGGTAGAATAAACGGTAAATAAGGAGGTGTCTAGAGTTAGAAGAATCGATATTTGTTTATTTACTAGTTACTATGGAATCTTTAGTATGAAACGTACAAAGATGCATTGATTTATTTTTAATTAAACTCAGTATGCCTCCTAACTTAGAAGTACAAAATCCCGAAGAAGAAGAAGAAGAAGTGGAAGTGAATAATCAAATTACAATTGTTTTAACACCTATTTCGGATTATAGTTCCAGTTCGTCGGAAATAAATGATACTAATTTAAGTGATGAATCGATTTCGACCATAGATGTTCCTTTACCTGAAGATCCTGCACCGTATCTTTTGGAGCAAACATTTAAAGATTTTTTGGTAAGTCATATTATTAATATAGTGCGTCTTTTATATAACAATTATTTTATTTGGTGTTGAAATTGACTTCCATTGGTTTCTATGCAATGATTCAATTAAGCTGCAAATGCTTTTCGCTTATTACGTAACATTTCGTGTCTTGTTTTTCGACATTGTTAAAATATTCGCTTACTTAAATCACCATACTTTTTGTTTATTATGAATATGATAAGTTGAAATAATAAATTTAAAATAAATATATGCACGAATTATACCCGTGATGGAAAAGTAACGTTAATTTTTGTATGAGTTTTAAAGAACTCCATAATGGAACCCATACTATAATTTGTTATTAGGACTAAAGAGGTAAAAAGTCAAAATATTTTAACATGGACAGGCTTAAGAGGCAAAGAGTCCAAATAATTCAAAATAATTTGTTTTCGTTCTTTTTTTTTAGGTAAAAGTAACAAACACTGAAGATCTCTCAATAGTAACGCAGCTAAAACTGCGTGTTATATCTAGAGAAGTAACCCTCCAGTATCTAAGCATCTATACTCCAAATCTCCGAGAATTGATTCTTGATGGAAGTGCAGTATCGTCTTTGAGAGATCTTGGAGGAGGTTTAAAAAACCTGAAAATTTTAAAAGTAAACAGATGTGGTCTGACTTGCATAGATGGTGTTTTTAGTATAGAACAATTGGAAGAACTGCATGCTGCTGATAATGAGATTGCTACGCTAGCTCCTTGTGCATTTTTAACCAATCTCAGAGTTCTTGATGTTCGAAGGTAATAGTGGTAAATTTTTTTAAGAAAATATCGAAAAATACAGAAATTAGAATAAATTAATAGAAATTCCAAATGATCGAAATAAATGATCGAAAGTAGATATGATTGAAAGTACAGATAATCGAAATAACATATGTTTGAAATGATTGGACTGATTGACTGATTGAAATGATATGATCAAAATGACATATGATCAAAATGACATATGATCAAAATGACATATGATATATGATCGAAATGGTATAAGACCTAAAACATTTGATTACAAATTAAGTTTTTCATTTTACGCATAATTATTATTCGATATCTCCAGGCCGCAAATATTAAGTTTTTTAATGTTTCTTATTTTATATACATCATAAGTACATTTTTCTGCAAAACAACCCTCAATGTCTCCAGGTTGCACAGGTTAGGTAAATTATTTAGGTAATTTCTGTTTTAAAAAGAATTCTAGGGAAATATTTCCATCTTCTTTAATATATCATACATTTACATTCAACTATTTGAGATCATGTATGTGATTAGAGTACCCCTAATCTGATATTATATACTTTGCCGTCTCAGTTCATGTCCGTTCCAGTTGAGTGTCAAGTTTGTTATTTTTATGCTTTCAATTTTAGAAAAATTTGACAAAATTCAAAAACAATCTAACGATCTTTTGCTAGAAATTTAAAAAAAAAATAAAAAATTCGCCATTTTCTCACTAAATTATAGTTCACAGTTTTAATCGTTTATAGGCGACAATGAATTTTTTGTAACTTTTTTTAAATTGGGACTTTTATTGTAAAGCATTTTAGCTACTTGAAAAACAGTGATGATAAATGTAATGGGTTCGATTTATTGCCTTAAAATTCATTATTTGCCATTATGAACATATGTTCAACTAGTTATTTTTTTATAAAGTATCCCACCTCGTTTTATATTTTTAGAAATCTTCTTTCAATGGAAAATGTACCTTATCTCAGTTTTTGTGAAAATATTGAAGAATTATACATAGAAGGAAATCCTGGAATAATGTCACGTTTTCTTGTTGAATTGCTGCGACAGAGACTATCGAATATTAAAATTTTGGATGGAATGTTACTTACAGGTAAAATTAAATAATTTTTAGTGTGAAATAAGGACCAACCGATATATGAAGGTGAATACTTAATCGATCCAGCTCAACTTATCATGATGCTATTAATGAAAAAATTTGATGGTGCTCTATGTTGTTGAAAGCCAACGATATCTATAATTCTATCTTAAACTAATTAAAATAAAAAAAACTCTGTAATTTGTACCGATCACAGTTTGTTCATAGATTTTTTTCGGCCACACAAAACATGAACTTTTTGACAATCTTTTTCAATATCCTGGCTTATGTTTATGTTTAGTACTTACTACTTATGTCATATTTTGGTAATGACGTAAATACCACAATCGGTGAAAGATCTTACATTGTTTTTTTAAGTTAAACGAGGCTGCATAAAATATCGATTGTAATTTTTAAATACCTTTCATATTATTTTTTTTTATTTAATCTATAAAATATCGAATACATTTACATACGAGTAAATTATGGTAAATTTTTTAATTTCAGATATTATCAATGATGTGAATGGAGGCAATGATAATAATTATGTTGTTGTACAGAACAGTTTAAATAGAGTAAGTAGTAAATTTTAAAACACTTGCCTTTTTTACAACAATTGATGATATTTATTTTCAGAACATCTCCAATCGGCAGCAGAATTTGAACTTTACAGTTGATTTTCCACCAAGAGTAGTTTTGCAACGTTATTTTTATAATGAATAAGTAAAATAAAATAGTAAAGATAAAGTATATTTATTATTGAGAGAAATAGAATGAAAAAATAGTTAAATAAAATTTAGATAAAGGTAATGTGTTATTAATTGCTAATAATTATTCTTAGTGTTAAAGTAACATAATAAAAATTTAATAGAAATAAAAATTAATTATTAATTCTAAAAAAATAATTTGTTTACAGAAGAAGTTAAATTTAAATCAAAAGACTCACCATTTGTAGCCGCTTATTCTTCCTAAAACATATTAAAATAAATTTCAATAAATATTAAAATGAATCATAAATTCAGAAAAAATCAGAAATAATCTTCGTCCATTATTATCAAAATTTTTCATTTTTAGTTTTTAATTATATTTGTTTTATATATAACTGGAAATATTAATATCTTAGGGTACTAATTTGTTTACAGAAAACATTTAATTTAAATAAAAACACTCACCATTTTAGGCTTCTTATTCCACCTTCACTCTCTATCTCATTTAACGTTCCAAATATATATTTCCGCTTCTCCATATATCCATTATTTCCAATATATTTTCTCAGTTAAAACGCGTCCGGAAAATCTTCTTTTCCCGACGACATAAATAATCATCGTATCATGTTCAATTCTATATCAACCCTTTGATACGTAAATGTATCTCTGAGTAGTATATCTGCAGCCTTGTCCATTTGATCCTGGAAGGTATATCCCCAGACAGTACAATGTAAATCAAAGTTGTACATTAACATCAGAGGACATACATGCTAAGATCAAACGTCTTTATTGTCAGAGTGAAATGAACATGAGCTCAGACTATTCACATCGTGCTACTTATTAACTCGAAAAAGTTGCGGCGATATAAATTGTTTAACGGAAATTCTCTGAAAATAAAAACAACAATTAGTGATGGGAAATTTTGGAAATGTTAAAAAGGAATGATATTCATTGAAGGAACTAAACAGACAATACATTGTTTTACATTTCCTCTCTATTTAAAGATTTAAAAAATATATTCTACCAGGTCTGTCTACTTTTATTGATAGGTGGGTTATTTAAATATTTTTCTTTTCTTTGTATATTGATGTCATCGTCATCGACAACGCAAATGCTACATGTTTAAAAACAAATGTTGTTTTGTGACTTTGTTAGATGTTTATAGTTATCAAACAAGACAAGTTGATTCTAAATTACTGTGAAAAAATTCACAAGGAAATTATTTTTACAAAATTGTGATTGGTCGCCCAACTAACAAAGTAGCTTTATAATTTTTAGTTTACAAGATTTAGTTTACAAGACTATTATATTTTATTGATATTATATTGCTGTTTCTGGAATGCTAATTTATTGTACTACTGTTGCAGAAATCACTATTTTGTTCTCTGAAACTAAATTGTTATATAAATTAGTTTTTACAATATTCTTACAGCAAAATTATAAAATAGTTTTCACGATAACTATGAAATTGTTACATAAACATTTATACAACTGTTCTATACAATATTTCAGCTCATAAAATAAAATTGCTTTATAGTTATTCTATATTATTGTTCTAGATTACCTTTAGAACTTTTTGGTTATACAAATATAACTGTTTCTTAACCTCATAATAACGCTTTAAAAAAAAATTATATAAATATTAGTGTGAGATAATTCCGCATCAATAGCAATTTGCTTCTAATGAAAACTCTAAAATAACTGTAATATATTGTCGACATACACTATTACAAATCAGAAAACTGTATAGCAATTATTTTAGTTAAGAATAGTATTATCCCTTTAAAAATATTTATAAAAAAATAACGCAACTACATTTGGTAGTACCAAGGCCATATTATTTTGTATTTTATGTTTGTTCAACTACTTCCCATACCAATTGTATGTGAGTGTATGGTCTGAAAATGTCAGATTTAAATAGTGAAGAAATATAAAAAATAAGTGGTACCTGCTTTTCAGAGAACAGTAAAAAATATTAGTAAAACATTTTGCTGGTTTGTCTAGACACTCAAAAAAAAAAACTATCATTCAGCCAGATAATAATTAGGTATGTTCTAAATAATCATGCCCCAATACTAAAAGAAAGCCATATTTTTGGCGATGTCCATCTTAAACTTGCTTATTCTCGTAATATTAAAAATTATGCTTGCTCTATAAAGCTGTAGAAACAAATCTAATCATTTCAATTCTCAAATACTTAAATCGGAAACGATTTAGTAAGGTTATGTTATATTTTGTCATATAGTGCAGAAATATGAAACAATTATACAACAAACCATGATGAACTTGTTTTGTAGAAATAAGTAATACAACTTAATTATTGTATTACAGCTGTTTTTACTACAATAATATTTTATAATTATGATTCAGTCTTAAAATAACTTTCTAATACCTCTGAATAGCCGCCATATTTAACAAAAAACTTAGATAGTTGTAAAGCTAAATCTACTGTCGGTTTTACTAGTATTTAAGAGAAAACCAATGTTAATTAAAGACTTTAATCATTAGTAATATTAGCATAATCTTATTACTAAAAAAAAAATCAAATTGCATAAATTTAATTTTTGCTTCACACTGAAAAAGTATTAGAAATATGAATCAAACTCGAGGCGCTTAAAAATTTAGTATTGTATGTGCTATATAATTAACAGTAATTCTTGCTGCGCATCCAAAAACGACTTTATTGTAGGTCATACATTATGTCTAAACCGCGTTATAGATATATCTTAAGTAGATACGGCCATTTTACTAATATCGCCTTGAATTTACTTTTATGACAAATATACAATTAATTTGTTTTCACCAGATGCATTTAAAAAACTAAAATTTTACTGATTTTGATATGCAACCTAACCTCAAAATTGAAAATTTATAAAACAGTTATAAAAGTTTAAAAAAACATTTTTTTAAAGTCTGTGTAAATGTGTAGTAACTTTTCGGTAACTGCATTCAACAAATCTTATAGAATTTACAAAAGAACCAAATAGTTCTGTAATACTGCGCCCATTTTGTGTTTATTACTGTTGGAAGAATGTTCCGGAAATGTTCTTAGCTAATATTCTATTTTATAAATTTTGTTCTGTAAACATTTTTTCAGCTTTTATAAAATATCAAATTGTTACTTGGGCGGTCTCAAAACAAAATGTTCTCAGTCCAACTCTTTAAGAGATATTAGCCTCCAAAAATGTAAGTAAAATTAAATTTTAATTTTTTTATCCGGGTTGATGAAAAAAATTTAAATTTTAAAAATTACAGGCACTTGCAAAGAGGAGATTGATATTATTTTTTTTTCTGTAAATCCGATATGTTATAGGGGAGTTGAAGTTGCAACCAAAGTTACATCTAAGTTGCGTTGGTCCAAGGTCGCGCACCAATTTTTCGAAAGTTGGTCGGTCTTAAAACAAAATGTTCTCAGTCCAACTCTTTAAGAGATATTGACCTCCAAAAATGTAAGTAAAATTACATTTCTATTTTTTTATCCGGGTTGATGAAAAAACTTTATATTTTAAAAATTACAGGAACTTGCGAAGAGGTGATTGGGAGTATTTTTTTCCTGTAAATCCGATATGTTATAGGGGAGTTGAAGTTGCAACCAAAGTTACATCTAAGTTGCGTTGGTCCAAGGCCGCGCACCAATTTTTCGAAAGTTGCGCAGCTGTTTTTTTATTCTTACTTCAAAATACAGGCCCAAAATCCCCACATGAACACTTTTACATACGTTTTGAACATTTTTGTACCGCGCAGTCAGCGAACAAATTAGAGAGAATATTGTATATTATTTTAATGTTAGAACTTTTTGTCGGGTCGAATTTTATGAATTAAAAATATTTTTCAGAATTCCTGTTTTCTTTGTAAACTTTTATCTTGCTTTCTTTGGTAACTTTTTTTTCTAGATTTTTTTATATAACTTATATAGTTTTCGAACAATAAAATATAATACACTCACCGGCAGAATTAACCGCCCACCCAATGTTTTGTTATTTAGTTGGAGATATTTTTTTTTTAATTTTTTTTTACTTTTTAATGTCTAAGTACATCTTGAAGAAGCAAACAAATACCAATCAAATGAAAGTTTTTGTTTAATTTTAGAAAATAAAAGAAAAACAATTTTTGAAAATTTTGAACTTTTTGAATAAGATGAGCAATACATGGGTGGGCGATTAATTCTGCCGGTGAGTGTATAATAGCATGTATTTTTTCGATCTAAAAGTATTAGTTCTATAAAAAAACAAGCAAGACATAAAAAGTTAACAAATTATAATATATCCAATTTCTAGTATTCAACCTTAATTATTTAACTATATATTTTCTCTTAAGAGATTGGGTCGAGAAAATATTGCTATATCCTCATATAATTTTTAATGAGGAATTTCTTCCTTTTTCGCATGAATTCCGAAGTACCCCGTATAAAGTATATTGCAAAACTTTTTATAGGTCTAAAATTATCTCGATTAGATTAAAAAAATTGCAAATTAAAAACCTATTTAAATTTTTTTCTTCTAGAAAAATGTTTTTTATTTCATAGCTGAATTTTTATATGTTTACTTTCTTAATCTGTTTGGAAATATGGTGTCTTTACTATACCATTTTACACAACTAGTTCACCCCGGCGGGTCCTTTTTGCCCACAAATCTCTGTTTTCTACCTGTGTAAGTAAAGGGGTGCGTTAATCTTATTGGTATTTTGCCCACAGTAGCATTCAGGTACCTAAACCCGCAAATTAAATCCGCCCACAAATAGGTACCTACCTGATTATTAATAATTCTAATAGGTACTTACTTTGGGTGTTTACTGTTTATATTTCAGTCAGTTTTTATACGTTGATGATTGTAATTCGAGTGTTTATAAACAATAATTATTTCTATAATGTCAGCTACATTGATTAAAAGCACACGCGGGAGAGATGTACTCCTTTTGGAGAATTTTACGTTTGCCAAAGATAGAGAAATGAAAAGTGGAGAAGTTTCTTGGAGATGCTCCCAAAGAAAAACAAATGCTTGTAATGCCACTGTATTTACAATTGGTCCTGAACTTTTAGTATCCAGAGGCAACCTAATTCATAGCCATGAAGCAAATGAACCGAAATTAATCAGGAAAATT